AGCTCAAATCGTTTTATGAAAGAGAATTAATTACCCTTCAGCACAGCTGGTGCCAGATAGGCCATTTATCCACATTATAGCCACATTATTGAAGAGAAATTCAGACACAAACAGGTTGGTTCACAATGGTCAAGGGGTGAGGTGTGAATTCTGACCTGTGGCCTCTTCAGAGATCTGTATTTCCAGTGTTGTCACTCCTGTGCTCTACTGTATTGTTCTAGCTGCATCTTTAAGTTGTGAACTAATACCTAATGATTTCTATATTTATTTCCCTCCACTTTCAAACTTCTGCTGCCTTGCCTACATTTTTGATTCTTTTGAAAACAGTGCATCATTTTGGATCTGTTTCAAAAATATTTTCTCTGGTTCAATCCCACGTTGAGTGGGATGTGAAGGAGAATCTCTGACTGTTCTGCAAGAGGTCAGACTAGACTACTTCTTGTCATACTAATTCTTGTGCTGTCTTTAAGCACATTGTCCGGGCTTAAGGCTGGTTAGTGATTCCTTTCCTGAATTGTTGAAATCACAGTGACTTGACCCAAGGATAACACTGGGGCATTTACAGCTAGAATTGCATAGTGCAAGGAAGTTAAGTTATTTTTTCTTCTGTTTTCTGAGCTATTGATAACTAATTCTATAATAGATATGTATGTGTAGTGTATTTGTGGTGTATCTTCTAATTACCAGGATTATTGGCTTTAATTCATGGTATCATCAGAATTACTTCCTATCTCCTGCTTATATTTTTGGCAGATCCATTTGCACCAAAGCCAATTCTGCTGCAGGCAGTGAGAAGAGAGGTGAGCCCGTGAGAACCTCATGATATCTGTGCTACACATCAACTGCACATACCCCAACAAACAGTGATTTCTCTTAGCAAAATCCATCTTCTACAGGCAGCATTTGTGTGCTCAGACACACAAGGTAGCTTTACTTTCACCAACCAGTTTTGAACCTGAGTTTTAAAAACAGCTACTGAGAAAGGGTTGTCCTCTCAGGAGAGGTATTTCTAAGTCTGTTTCACTTTTCTACTCAAGATTCTGTTATAAAAGGGAGTTTTAATATTTTTTCTCCCCATTTTCTTCATGAAGAAGTGAAGCCAAAAGTTGCAGACTAACAGGACAACATATATTGTATATTTTTAAATACAAAGGAAATATATTTTCTTTATATACTATAGAATTTCTTTGTTTTCATTTTGTGAGAACAGGTCTTGGTGAACTAAGCTCATGCAGGGGTTGTGTTTGTTGAGATTTTGTGCTTTCGTTCCTACTCCAAGTTTCTGTCAGAAATTCTTCTCAATCTGTCACAAGGGACTTCAGAATTTGTCTCCTCTTAATTAATTGAACAGCTCTTTTTCTGATGCTTTTTGTCTGCTGTTTTCTGCATGGTCATGCTGAGTACATTTTGACCTCTCCATTTCCCTTTTCCTAAATCAGTACAGCTGAAACAGTCCTGCTTTCAGGAATATCTCTCCATTTGGGTACCAGAACGTGCAGGCACTCTATTTTTCGGTCTCCAAATTCTTGTTCAACATGAAGGTCAACTATGGTGAACCTTTGGACTATGGTTTTCCAGAGGCCAAGTAGCTCTTTCCCAAATGCACCTTGTATAAATTGGTTCCTTGTACCTTCAGGAGCACAGTTCACAGCCCTGTTTCTCTCTGGATTACAGAGGTAATGCATCAATTATAGAGAAATAATCATAGAAGGTCCTTGGCCTTACCAGTGCCAAATAATTACTACAAAGTGCTTTTTGCCTCCTCAGCTAATTTCAATGCCCTTGTGAGAAACACTCAGCCCCTTGCAGGATTATGCCCTGCATCATTTCTAATCACAGCCTTGGCTCTTCCCTGGTGGGGCTGAGCTTTAGCTGTTAGTCAGGCTGAGACAGTGGAATGTCATGAGTTAGAAGAATTAAAGATGGGGAAACATTAATTTTAGATTGGACTCTTCAGAGTTGCAAGTAATTTCTTGGAGGGAGTTCTGTAGCAGTCTGCAGCTGTTCTTCCAGTTTGTAGTGATATCAATAGCTGTAGTTCTGTACAGGGCTGGGATTCCTTAGAGGTATGATAGAGTCTGACTAACAAAATGATTGTCACTTCGGCTTAGGGATTCTTTCCCTTCAAAATGGTTACATTGAAAGTAATCAGCAAAATAACAGAGAAACCAGTCAACATAGCATTCAGCTAGAATATTTTTTACTACTTGACTTAATTATCCCATAGTCAGATAGGTCTGTCATTTAATTTACATTCCCCAAAAACACCATTAAGGCAGTTTGACTAGCTTAATTCATTTTTTCTGCTTTCACCCACAGATCAACTTGACATCATTTCAATGGCTGAAACAACAATGATGCCTGAGGAAATTGAGCTGGAGATGGCAAAGATCCAGAGACTTCGGGAAGTCTTAGTCAGAAGGGAATCAGAACTCAGGTTTATGTAAGTATCAATACTTCTGGGAAAACACTATGCAAAATTAATCGAAATAGGAAAGGATGCTATTTAAAAGACTTTTATCTGCTTGACATTTTAAAAGGAAGAAGGATAAACGCATCCCAGTTAAGTGAGTGCCTGCAAAATGCTGTTGGGAAATTATTTTTGTAGTTGCAAAGGAAATTACCCTTTTTATTCAGCATGATGTGCAGAATACATAAAATGGATCTATTGCTCATGAAAGGGAACTTTAGCAAAGTGTGAGTCTATAGAGCACATTTTCATACCTGATTTCAGTCCTTTGTGGGAAGGATATTTATCTGAACAAATATCAACAGGTAGGGGATTTGGAGCTTCCACAGTCTAACCCAATTCAGGCTGTATTCCTCACTTCATTAGCAATCTTAGACAGCTCATGTCACAAGAGAGCACACTGTGTTCTGCACTAATAGCAGCCAAGATTTGACATTTGTTAAATGGAAGCCATTAAGTTATGAAAACAAAACACAAACCACATTTTGATGCATCAAATGAAATAGCAATACTCCAAGAGAGATTTTCAAAACTGCCAAAAGAAGGTCAGGCATGGGAACCTCACTGAAGGTGCATGAATATTAATCCAGTTCTGATCGTGGAGTCAATAGGGTTTATATTCCTAAATAATTGAATTTAGAAGATCAGGACTTATTAATAAAAGTGTATTATTAGGAAGTCTCATCTGTCTGTGAGTACCTGAGGTCAGAAACTAATACCTTTGCTGACAGGCCAAGAACTTCAGTAGATGTAAAACCTGCTACCTTTGCATTAGCTTCAGTAGCCTGAAAAAACTAATTGCTCTCTCCTCTTGTTAAAATACACAGGACTGGTACTTTAACCCTTACACATGGAGGTTAATATTAGTGCCCTGACTTGCACTGCCAGAAACTGGAAGCCTCTCCCACGGACAGCACAGACATCTGACTTGGAGTACTATCCCAGAAGAGTTCTGCCCAGAATCACTGCTTAGAGCTTCAGTAGCCTGAAAAAACTAATTGCTCTCTCCTCTTGTTAAAATACACAGGACTGGTACTTTAACCCTTACACATGGAGGTTAATATTAGTGCCCTGACTTGCACTGCCAGAAACTGGAAGCCTCTCCCACGGACAGCACAGACATCTGACTTGGAGTACTATCCCAGAAGAGTTCTGCCCAGAATCACTGCTTAGATACCTTTGAAAGTAAGGACTGCTGATAGTGGCACTGACCTTTAATAATGCTGTAGTGGTCCAAATAAAGTAAACAGGAAAGGTTTTGTCACACCTGCTCCTGATAGTCAAATAACTACTTGGGTATTGGCTTGTACATAAATGTAATCCAGAAGAAGCCTCATCATTGACCCCTGCACTTCTCTTGACATTTTCTATGTCAAACAAAGCATGAAATAAACTGTCCCAGTGAATGAGAGTGACTATTCTGTTTGTTCTGGTATCCAGTCTGTTCTTTTGATTTCCCCCATGCTCACACTCTTTACTCTGTGTGCCTAGCAGGTGTTTGAGTAAGGGATTTAACAAGAAGAGTTTGCTTATTGGAAAGGGAATAAAACTGACATTCATACTGCACAACGGTTCTCTTCCTACATTAGCTCTCACCCTAACACACTGCCTAGAGCTGCCCAAGAGCACTCCCCAGCCAGCCATTCACTGGCTGAGGAAGGAAAGCTCTTCAGAGTCTCCACAAGGCTTGGCCCTAGGTATTGGCAAAGCAGGCAGGTGGCAGAGGCAGCAAGTGCCAGAGATGGCCCCAATTTCTAAGTTGTGGAAAGCCAAACTTGTTGCTGCTGCCACTGTCTTCAGCCACTGCCACAGCTGCAGTGGGTCAAGATGACCACTTTTCCAGGGATATTCACACAGCTTTCTAGCCCAGCTGTTCCCTGCTCTGTGGCAGCATATCCTGACACTGTCCTTTAATCCTTGAGGCAGTTAAATTCAGTTTGTTAACAGCACTGAATGAAATGGTGAGATAGATCTGTCTCTGCCCTGGCACTCTACTTGCAAACCAAGACTTCACTGATCAGGACTTTTCCAGCCTTGTGTTGGCTTCCCATCTTTCTGTATGCATTTACAACAGGCAAGTTCTTCATATTGGTTCATCAGCTCTGAAAGCAAAAGCAGCCTCTCTCACTCTCAGAGGCCTCCAGAATTGGAACATAATTCCCTTGATACCTTTTAGAAGTCAAAAATATTGTCCATTTGACCTTATCTAATTTTTACAAATGTTTGTACATTTTATTCCTGACAGAAGCATGTTGCTAGTGATACTCAAGCAGTACCTGATCTTTACTGCCTTTCATGCTGAGTAGTTTACACTGACAGAGGGGCTTGGCTGCATTTGTCTTTGAGGGCAAACAGCTTTTAATGACAAATATATTTTAATGACCTCTTTCTGATATTAACAACAGAACTCACCATTACCTCAGTGGTCCAAGTTTTATATCTGTTTAAGCAAATTGCATTAACTCCTAGACATACTGTGGTAGATTGTATGTGTGGCTGTATTTATTTTTGATTCCTGATGTAATGCATTGCCAGTGTCCCAAAACCAGAAATCTCTATGTAGGTCAGGAATTTTAGTAATGGATTTCTTCTGACAGGAGTAGATTCCCCTAGGAATGACCTATAGAACCAAATGCATGAGGCTGAGCTGCCTCAGACAGGTTTAAGGCAGACTCCACTCTGAGCACTGCTAACTAGCAGCACTACACCTACGCTCAGACCACGGAGTTCAAGACCAGCTTTAATGAGAACCAGATCTCTTTAGTTCTTCCATCTGCTTTAGTTTTCCTTTCAATTATAACAAAAGGATAAAACACACACATAGTAATAGAGAAAATGCGTGGTATGTTCTTTTTTTCCTCTCATGCTGTTAGCAACAGAATAGAAATTCTCTTGAGTTAAATTGGGCTTTTTTTAGTCCTTATAAAAGCATGAACACGATGAAATAATTCTGTATTACACATCCAGCTTACATTTCTAGCTACATTTTTTTTAAAGCAATGGTTCATTCTTCTCACTGTCTGTATGACTGATCTTTTTATTCACATGGAGCCAGATCCTAAAGCCAGGACAAAGTACATTGTAGCTGTGCTCCAAAAAAGCAGAGCTCTGTGGCTGTGCTCTGAGTGTCTCACCAGCCCCAGAGGTGGCCACAGCTCCCTCCTGTCAAAGGCACAGAGCCTGTCAGCTCTGCTTACACACACCAGCTCTTCACAGCACAGACACTGTCTATAAAAATACTCACACTCACGACTAAGAAAACAAAACCCTGCAAGCTAGACCTGCTGCTGATGGAATTCAGAGCAAACTCTTTCTCTGTCAGAGTGGTGCAGGTTTAATCCATGGAATGAACATGCTCTATGGCTGCTAATTGAATGTACTGTTTTCCTTGAAGAAGATGCACAAAGATCAGGATGGGATAATAATAAAACTCACTGCTAGTGATGTTTGAAACAGCTCTGCAGCAACACATATTGTCTATTGTTATGCACACATTTTGCCCAAACAAATGCAGTAGCCATAAAATAAGGACATTTGGCAGAGAACTGTTCCAGGTTAGCATATCAGCCAGTAAAAAACACCCAACAAACCCAAGTGGAAAAAAACCAAACCCTAATGAGGTCTAGGTGTTCAATGGACCTGGACTTGCTTTGCATTTTTCACTGATCTGTGTATGAACCAGTAAAAATTATTCC